TTAAGGTGCTGTGAACTAAAACTTTTACTATTAGTTTAAGCTTTGACTGGTTGAGAATGATGAGTATTTAACAGTCCACATTACCAAAAAAAAATAAAAAATGGGAACCCTGTAAGCCACCCCAATCGTTACTTCTCCATAAACCCTAAACTCTAATCATGTTGTAATGTCACAGGAATACAGTATGTATGCACACTGCTGTACCCCATGGTAGTACTATTACAAAAATGGCACACAATAAGCTCATAATAATATGTGCTACACTAAAGTGGCTTTGCTTTTGCAAATATTTTACATTTATGGAATAATTTGAATTTATGAAATGCCAGTATGCTCCATTTTTGTAAAACGGCAATGGGCAGGTCCCTAATTTAGTGTCTTCAAAATAACTTGTCACATTTATGATGTTGATATGCACAGTTTGGGGGATTTTATTATAGTAGCACAGATAAAGTGTAAAAAAAATATGCTGAAAATGTTGTGTGCATGTAAAAAAAAATAAAAAAATATTTAATACCAGAAGTTTTGATAAAAAGATGTAAGAATGGCCCCTGAGTAAAAAATGATATCCATCTTGTGAGAGACTCCATAGTAAAGTACTACTTTACTGAGAGGGCAGTGGATGCATGGAATAGCCTTCCAACTGAAGTGGTAAAGGTTAACACAGTAAGATAGATTAAGCATGTATGGGATAGGCATAAGGTTATCCTAACTATAAGAGACTAATGCAAGTATTGAGAAATTGGGCAGACTAGATGGGCCGAATGGCTCTTATCTGTCGTCACATTCTATGTCTTCATTTCCAGATAGTATACATTTATGGAGTGATTTAAATGCATGAGCTGCTATAATAACCAGAAATGTGATATGGCCCAATAGTCATATATAATTGGCAGATATTGAAAATTGGAAGATCTGTAATTGACATATGCAATTTCCCCCCCAAAAAACCCATTGAAAAGGTATGCAAGGAGGTTAATTTAGTTCTAAGGTGAGATAGCTTGCTAAAGTGCTTTATGTATGAAGAATATGTCCTATTTTTTCATTTTTCAAAAAGTGCTGATTTCAATAGAAATTGGCACTTTACTTTGGTACTCCGCCCCTCCCTAGCAATTATACAACATGACCAGTTGCTTCCTAGTAGCTTAGCTCAGTGGAACTAAACTTAAGGGGCAGGCAATTGCCCAGAACACCTGCCTTGCAAAAGACTTCTCAAACATCTCATTGAGCTGCATTGGTGAAGTCTGTGATTGGACAGCCACAGAAAGTCTGGGCAGGGTCAGAAGGAAAGGGTAACAAGACCTACAGCTTTTTTTGAGCTGTTTTGAGATAAACTCTCATTAAAAAGAAATGTGTAATTAAATGGGTGCATGTTTACAATGGGGGTATAACTACTAAATAATGTTTTTTATTTATTTTGTAATTTGGTAGTGGAATCTTTCTTTATGTCAGTGGTTCCCAAACCAGTCTTCATGGTCCACCAACAATCCAGCAATCTCGGATTTATGCATTTCCCTGTTTTATTCTAATAGAGATTCTGACAAAACCTGGACTGTTGCTGGGTCGTGAGGACTGATTTGGAAATCACTGCTTTACGTGTTTATAAAAGCACCTGAAAAATCAACACACACACACACGCATGACATTAGCACAAATCAGGTTTACAATATAAACAATTTGTAATAAGCCAGCAAAAAAAAAAATGCAACAAAAAATTATAAATAAAATCTAAATAATACTATAGACTTTGAGAGAACTTGGTAAAAGAATGGTCCCAAAATAAGTCAAAAAATTATACCATATGAGAATCAGTTTTTGCATTTGATATGCATTATTGAGTAATTTGAATATGTGAGATACTACACTAACAGCAAAGTAAATTGTCAAAATTCCAAATTTGGAAACTGAAATTCAGGGCTGCCATTAGAAATTTTAAGTACCCTTCTTTATGGATTTCCCAGTTGTGTCTAAAGTGTTTTTGTTTTTTTTAGTATTTAGTCACAAGTGTGGGATAGGTTAGTAGGGCAGTCCCTTTGAAAAGGTGGTATAGGTACGTGACTCCTCTTTCATGCCATGGTATAGCGTTGAACGTAGGGATGCAGTACTGCAAGGCTTTGATGGGGGTCGCTAAGGAGACGCCTACGTTGCTAATCAATTTAGGTCTAAATTTGTCCCAAACACGTGATAGTAGTTGGGTTTGAGCAGGGAGTTGATGGAACAGTGGTCTGTGTTGTTTGGGCAACCACATAACATGACTGAGTTTGTGGGGTTGAAGTAGGGACCTCTCTATAAGTGCCCAATGTGGGCGAAGATTGTCCTCTATATGAGGTATAACCGCAGTTAGTACAGTAGCGTAGCAGTAGGTAAGTATATTGGATAGGGCCAGTCCCCATCTTTTCAATGGAGCTTGCAATAATTTCGTAGCTTCTCTATTCTTCCCACCATTCCATATAAATAGAAGGAGATCTGTTTGTTTGGTCTTGAAATATACTAGAGGTATAGTTATCTAAAGGGTGCAAAATAGATATAGGAGTCTGGGAAGGATAGGCATCTTAAATGCAACTATGCGTTCAGTCCAAGAAAAGAATAGGGGCAACCATTTCTGTAGAATTTGGTGACATGCATTCCATACCCTGATATAGTTAGCGGAGTACAAGGCAGTAGGGTTTTTAGTGACGGATAATCCCAAAAAACCTAATATAATCTGATCTCCAATCAAACTGATAAATTTGGGTAAGAGTATGCAAAAGCTTAGAGGGAATATCTACAGTCATAGCTTGGGGTTTTGTTTTTTTTTCATTGATGGAATAATTTAAAACCTGCCCATATTTTTTTATCAATCGGAGTTGCGGGTTAGTGACATACAACAAGATATCATCAGTGAATGTACAATATATAATCCAAATAATGAGGGTGCACTCCAGGGGATTTTCGTGATTGCCATTGTTTTTCATTTTCAGTATCTGTATACATGTATCATATTGTTCATTTCTAAGTGCCCCGACCTATTGTGTATATACATTATTTATACTATTTATGCTCACTACTTTATATTTGTAACATACAACCCAACATACAGAGTGAAATCCCCCCGGGGAATAAATGGAGACAGATAGAAAGTCCATAAACCAGTCCTTAGAATGGCTGGATTAAAAAAAATAATAATAATAATTTAAGGATAGTCAGAAATAGCCAAGGTCAAGGGAAGCCAGAAATATACTAAATCGAGAGACCAAAGCCGAGTCAGGGGAGCCAGAGATACACAAGAACGAAAAAACAAAGCCGAGTCAAGGGAGCCAGAAAACAGAGAGGTTGAGAGCAAGCCGGGTCAATACCAATGAATACCAAAAGGGAAAAAGAATACACTAGAGGGACACAAGTAACACTAGGAACCACAACAGGGCACAGTACTTTGGGCAGACTGGAATTTTATGTTTGGGGGCGTGGTTAGAATAAAACAAGATGACACAGCATAGAATGTTCTATAACATGTCTGGCCAATATCCAAATTGGCATACATGCTTAAAAGTGGGATTTGGTGCCAGCAATGTTTAGAAAGACTGAGTATAGGGACATAGCTTTTTAGAAAAGGTACCGCATGTGTTCGGCATGGGCATGATATATACTTAAGCTGATATATCTAGATACCAAGCTGTTTGAAGTGAATGCATGCAATAACTTAAATGAGAGTACGACTTACATTGCATTGGGTCCCTGTATAGACAATAAAGTATGATGTGAATTCTTATATTCTACTTGGTCTCTGTGTGATTTATCTTTCCTATAGTTCAAGATACTCATCCCAAACTGGGTTGTGTACCCACCAATATCACTTTAACCCGTATTAGGGATTGATTATTACTTTTTGAATAATGGTGCTTCATGAATATGATGATTAGGCACAACATCTATTTAGAGGGTAGAGATTGTTGTATACATACATACAGTAGGTGGAGTGTGTAGGTTCTTTGGTAGATATTTTTGATAACACAGAGATATATAACAGTGTTAGCTGAAAAAACAAAGTGGATAACCAGATCCTAGTGCAATATTGGCAAGCATTAACCCTTTAATGCCGTTACGGCGTTCCATGTCGTCCCGCATTAAAAGGGCTTTAAAGCCGTTGCGGTGGCATAGAACGCCGTAGCGGCTGCAGCCCCCAGAGCGCCCGGGATACTCACCTCTGCCGCGAACCTCTTCGGGAGGACTGCCTGACAGCCCAGGCAGCCCTCCCCCGGCAAATGAGGCCCCCGGAGGCCATGTGCTCGCTCTCAAAGAGCGATCACATGGCCACCTATAGCTGGCTGTGGATCTGCCAGCAGGGGGACTGTCTAAAATGTCAGACAACCCTTTAAAACCCCTTAGTGAAAGCCTTCAATTCGCTCACATCAGGCCATTCACTTCCAACCGGGGAAAGAACCGGAGGAATGTGGAAGTTACCGCCCGACCTCCCTAATAAATGGTGATCTCCCCAAATAATAAATGACCATACTCCCCAAACTCCTCTACCTACTGCAAACTCTCCCTGTCAAAATCCCTCCATCGTTTTTCACACACACCAAACGGGCATTTACAGCATTTGTATGGGCAGGAAAACCTCCCAGGCTACAATACGACTGTCTGATAAAGAGTAAACCCCGAGGCGGCCTGGGGCTACCCGACGTGGAATCGTACCACAAAGCCTTGCAAGAATATATGAGTGGGCACTCCCTCGGAACAACACCCAATGGGTACAAATTGAAGCTAACTTCTTTACAATCCCAATCCACAACATACCGGGAAACTGGGACGGGAAACAACCCTAAAGACACACAACACGGAAACACACCTGACCATAACGCACACTCTGAAGTCGTGGTACAAACTCAGAAAGGAACAACATATACCACCGCACCCCTCACCGCTCTACCCACTAACGAATAACCCATCTTTCCTCCCAGGCACCGACCCAGCCGCCTTCCAAAATTTCCCCACACAAAACCACACACTCTCTCTAGGAGATGTACTCAAGTGACAAGGGGGTTATCCCACTAGAAGACTTAACACCCACAACTGCAAACCCCGGACTGCTCAGACTCAGTCACTCACAAATTAAACATTTCATACACTCAGAACCCATTCTTCTACAAGGTCACAGAACTCACACGTCCAACGAAACACAATGTTCCCATCACATGCTACGTAGGAGACTAATCTCATCCTTCTATAAACTGATCAGCCAAAAACAAGAGGAGACCCTACCAAACTACACGATGCAGTGGGATAAAGAATTGAATACCCAGATACAGACAAACGACTGGCACAAAATATTCAAAAACATATTTCACACATCCAGAAGCAAAAACATCCATGAATGTTACTACAAGCGAATAGCTAGGTGGCACTATACACCGACCCGCATCAATAGATTCTTTCCCAGCACTCCGAAAACATGCTGGAGATGTAACCAGATAGTGGGCACCAAAGGCCAAAGGCCACATCTGGTGGCTTTGCCCAATGATCCACGGTTACTGGAAAAAGATAGCAACCCTCACACACACAATAACGGGCATCAGTCTCTCCCTGGAACCTAAAACCATGCTATTCATGCAATACCCCCAACCCCTAGAAAAGCACCAACGTATGCTTCTCAACCACCTGTTAAGTGCGGCTAATGCCCTAATCTCCACAATGTGGAAACAACCCACAGCCCCGACCATCAGAGCCTGGATAACCAGGTTTAACTCCATCAGAACAATGAAAGAGCTGTCCTACTCCTTCACCCTTAAATACGACGAATACCATACCACCTGTACACCATGGCTCCAATTCCTCCAACGCAAAAACCACTAAGACGACAGGTATCACCATGGAGACCAAACCCAAAGGTCTTCAGAGCTCGACAGACGATCACTAAGTCCCTCACAGAGCAAACCACAGGACGGCACAGAAAACTAATAAATCAGAGCACCATCCCGACTTGATCCAAGCTATGGCTCAGCAAAGGGAGTAACTCCCTATATACATAGAGGACCATCCGCACAGAAACAAAGCGATTCCCCGGTGGGGGGAAAGTAAAAAGGTGACACACACCCACATGCCACACTAACCTCACAACGGGGCTGCGCCATATACAGCCCTCAAACCTCTGTTTGTTAAGGTTACCTTCTCATCATTGTTCACATTTGTACGTTTCTATGATACTCTTGATGTACTACACCACCGTTTGAAATCTACTTCAAATGTTGTAACTTTTTGAAACATTCAATAAAAGTCATAAAAAAAAAATGTCAGACAGTCCCCCTGCTGGTAGGAGGTGTAAAAAAAAATATTAGACATCTTTAAAATTAATTAAAAGTATTTTTATATATATAATATATGTATATCTATTATATGTATTAAGGCCTTTTGGCCTGTAATTGTGGGAGGGGCGTATGACTCACCTTCTCCCTACTTAAGGGACACCCCTTACCTGGCTCCATACCGTTCGAGATCAGCGCTGCATCGAGAATCCACTTCCGGTTCACGTACGGCGCCATCTTGCTTTTCAAAAACCCGCGGTTTTCGTTTGGTGTAGCTGTGTCCAGGAATCCTTACAGGTTTTCCGCCCGTTCAGCCACGCACATACCCGGTGTTTTCGTCGCAGATTAAGTCCACAGGACTTCAAAATCGTAAGTCCGTCGCCCGGATCATTTCCCACGGCGTCGCGATTTAAAACGGCCTTACTTTACGGCCACACGCTTTACGGCCAAGTCACAGGCATATTAACCCCTTTGCTGCCGGCAGGCATATCGGTTTCGGTTTTTCTTGTATTAAGCAAACTTGTTCTGCATATCAGCAGCTATAGTTGGTTTCATGTTATTACTGTTATTTATTTTATGCAAATTACGAAATCCTTGCATATGACTGGGGCAATACCCCTGTTAACTACTTATAAATAAGTATTTATTTAGGTTATGGTTCAATCTTTTAGCAGATATGGCATTATTAAAGTTAAAATTCTTCATGTTATATACATATATTTATGGAGTTAAGCTTAGACAAGCTTTTACATTTTACAGATATCTCTTGTAGGATTTACGTTATAAATTATGTTTAGAAATTACGTTTCTATCATACCATGTACTCACGTTTCTTACATGGCACTTATATATTCTGACTTTTTCTTTGTGTACTCAAACGACATACCAAGTACACAAGAACACGGTCTCATAAAATCTCACAAACTTTCGGGTTGAATCACACGTCTTGATTCAACCACTCATACGTCACGTTGTTTCCTAATTTGGGATAATTTCTCAAATATTTCTGTACCTCGTACTTACCTCTTTTCATGGCTTACGTTTACGGCCTAACATAGACGATATTGTTTTAAATCCTGCACCTTATTATACTACAAACACTAGCATTACTATATCATACACATTAATCTTGTCACCATAAGAGACATATCATACACACCCCAAGCATGATTACCATACCACATACAGGGCCAGTCGGGCCAATATCATTCATGTATTCCCCTTCCATATGTACTACTAGAACTCATCACAACTAACTAGTCTAAATTGGTATCATAGGATCCAATTCTCACACTATCATATTTGGTTTTTCTATCCCTTTAGGTTTTTTCCAGTTTTCTCTACCTATCGCTTATCAAACGCATACATACTACCAGGTACGTTAAGCCTGCTCACGCCATACATCACATATGGCTCCTTCTCTACTTAGGACATAGAGTACTGGCAATTTTAGGGGTTATAGGCCCAAATAGGTATCCCCCCTCCGGGCATTCTGCCTATCGTTTAGTGGTCCGCGAGGCCAACACCCCGCCTCAACGTTTCGGAGGTAATGCCCCCCGGGCCACACGTGAGTTAGCCGCCTCGCATTATAGAGAGGGTGCCACCTGTCACTCCCTTCCCCTGTTTTCTTGTATTGTCACCGAGAGGCCTACGAATTCCTGCCACTACGTCGGGTGGCCTCAATAACCCCTCGCGCCAACGCATAGATAGAGCCTCTCATAGCCACTTGGCAACTAGCAGGGCCTCACCTGTCACCAAAGAACAAGTTTAATTTTTTCGCCTCATCCGGCATAATTAGCCTGCCAGTACATCCCCTCGGGGGTTTTTACGCTAACCATATACTTTGTAATCTAGTATGTCTCAAGAAGGGGTAGAGGATTTCTCCATCCCAAGGACTCCGGCTAGAACAAACACCCCATCACAGGAGGAAGATACGGCTAGTCCAGCATCTTTCAGATCATGGACTATCCCTCGCATCACTAGCGAACTCAGGAGACGACAAATCCCTTTTCCAGCAACAGCAAGGAAAGCGGAACTTTACAAATTATTACACACCTCAACCGATAACATGGACGCTGGGGAAGGGTCGAGCCAGTCCCACCCAGGAAACATACATGACATGCTCACGTCCCTCATGACATCCATGAGCAAGGTCAATTCTAGGATGGAGAAACTTGAATCGGTCACTACAGCCCTCACTATGGCTGGACCGGCCACGGCAATTCCCCCATCAGTGGTGGAGTCGCAATCAGTTTCTCCAGCTATCACCTCGGATGACCAAGAAGTTTACCCTGCCCACATGATTCCTGAGCACCTCAGGAGAGATATCCTGGAAGGTAAAGATGTCAATCTGGCCTCACTACTAATTGCCTCCCAGGATATAGTGGAACATAAGACCTACGCTTATGACGATATTTCTGTGGTGGTCAAATCCAGGGATGCACGATTAAATAGGAAGCTAACCATTCCAGAATTTGTATTAGCTTTTGGCATTTATCGGGATGTGGTCTGTACGGTATATCCCCACAGACGTGAGGAGTTTGACTTATATATGCACAGGCTGGTTGATCTGGGCAACAAATATGGTGGGTCAGCTTTCTATGACTACCATAGATCCTTTTCTGCCAAAGTGTCTGGCGCCTTCTCACAGTACGGGACAAGGTCCAACTGGAGTAAGATTGATACGATCATATTTTGCAGGCACTTTGCAGGTCTAAGAGCACCGGCCTGTGCACACTGCTCCTCCATGGCTCATACCGCCAATTTTTGTCCGACCACTGCGAACGAACCTACCACCTCGCAGGGCACTAGCTCCGCTGTGTCAGCAGAGAGAACACCCAAAGACAAACTGGGTCGACCTATCAAGTTTTTGGGGAAGTCCCAAATATGTAATAATTTCAATGTCGGTGCATGTAATTACAGCGGTTGTCGGTTATTGCATATATGTTCAAAATGTTTTAGGGCACATGCGAAAACCATGTGTCCAAATAAAATGTACCCTAAGCAATACTTAACTGAGATAAATATTTCTGTACTCACGGCATTACTGTCACGACATCCATCTAGACATTTGGTAGACTTCATCATCACTGGTCTATCACAAGGATTCCATACTGGTCTCATACACATGCCTTCAGGAATCCTTGAATGTCCTAATTTACAATCTGCACAGCAAAACCCTACAGCGGTTAAATACATATAAGTACATAAAAGATTACATTAGTATACACGTAGAATTTAAATACCTATAAATGCATATATATTAAAATTCTACTTGTATATTTAAGTAATCTTTTAATGTAATTATGTGATTTGATTAATTACAATTTGATTGACATGCCTGACAACACAGGGATAAAGTGTAGAGAATCTGATTTGCAAGCACTATATCTGACCCTTTAACTCTCCAAGACACCATAAAACCTGTACATAAGGGGTACTGTTTTACTCAGGAGACTTCGCTGAATTCAAGTATTAGTGTTTCAAAATTATAAATTGTATCACAACGATGATATTTTAAGTAAAAGGGAAGTTTTTTGCATTTTTTTACAAGCGAACAGCACTTTTATGGACTATTTTATTCTTGTAATAGGTTTTACTGTTTTAAAACACTAATATTTGTGTTTAGTGAAGTCTCCCGAGAATAACAGTACCATGTACAGGTTTCTATGTTGTTTTGGAAAGTTAGAGAGTCACATATAAGGCTTGTATTCAATTTTTTTTGACATTGAAATTTGCCAGATTGGTTATGTTGCCTTTGAGAGTGTATGGTAGCCCAGGAATGAGAATTTCTCCCATGATGGCATACCATTTGCAAAAGTAGACAACCCGAGGTATTGCAAGTGGGGTATGTCCAGTCTTTCTTAGTAGCCACTTAGTCACAAACACTGGCCAAATATTAGTTTTTTGCTTTTTTCACACAAAAACAAATATGAACGCTAACTTTGGCCAGTGTTTGTGACTAAGTGGCTACTAAAAAGACTAAACATACCCCACTTTCAATACCTTGGGTTGTCTACTTTTTCAAATGGTATGCCATTATGGGGGTAATTCTCATTCCTGGGCTACCATACCGTCTCAAAGGTAACATTACTAATCTGGCAAATTTCAATTTGAAAATGGAACGTTCTATATTTGACCCTGTAACTTTCCAAAACACCATAAAACTTGTTAATGGGGGGTACTGTTGTACTCGTGAGAAATCGCTGATTACAAATGTGTGCATTTTATTGCAGTAAAACCTAACAGTATTATGACATTAACAGCTAAAATGTCAGACGGAAATACAAATT